CAATGGGCTCATTAGAATATATATTTTTCTAAATAAAAAAGAAGTGTAAGCAAATTGTAAGAGCCAAATCCATAATGATTAATCTATTTCAAAGAAACACCCTAATTACATGCTCTAAAAGGATAAAAGATTTTAGCTGGAGCAATTTGGACAAGTAATAAAACGGATTTATTCCCTCCATCATGTTCCATATTGTCTTCTGTTCTCAGCAAATGTCAATTGCGACATGCTTCCAGCAGATGGCAGCGTTTTAATGCAAATTTCCTCCCGTAGCCAAGTTTCTTTCTGCATATTTTAGCAGAAAAATGTTGAATTTCAAGTCCAGATTTCATCTTCCATTTGGATCAGCTGACACAGTAAATATAACACTATATTATATAGTGGCAGGAACACTTTTTGGAAAGTGAAGCGTGATCGTTGATCCAGGGAATTATGTTGTGCTGAACCATGGTGAGTGCAGGATTACCTCAAAAGTGGGTTAACAGCTGCCTGCATTGCCTCTGCAAACGCTCCCAGCTCTCTCTCGTTCTATCCATGCGCAGACAATTGGCCTGGTTCTCAGAGTGGAAGACGTGTCACACAGGGCTGCTTATAACAAGACCCTGTGGGACACCAAGAGGAATGGCTGCTTTATCTGCCACAGTGAGTAATACTCCTCACCAGTATGGATACAAAGCACCTGTTCTTGTGGTGTGTGTCTGTTCTCACCACAGCAAATGCCTTCACTCATCCACTGCTTTTGTTAAGGGAGCTTATTATGGTGTGACACTGTAATGAAGTGAAAATTAGCTTAGGAGCTCTTCCTTTTTACACACACCATATGGCAGCAGCTCCGAATAATAAAACATCTGGCAGCTTTCTGTGTGCATCCAGATGTATAAATGGTACAAAGAATAGAGAGCAATAAATACTTTGAGATACAAGCTGAAACTGGACTTGGAGAAATGCTTTCTTTGCCTTGACTGGTCAGCTTCACTGGTCTCTGCCACATTCTCCCCTAAAATTTAAATTGGAAAAAAAAAATAAACAAGGCAAATATATAATTGTAGGCTTTATGTCTGAGAATGGTGTGGTGTTATGTCATTGGTTTTGCACAAACCTCACTTTTCAGAAGAGGAAGGATGCCCCTAGTGGTTGAGAGGAATCATTGATGTAGAGCATGGTGCATTCTCTCTAATTAACATTGATTAAACAAGCACTAATTAGCACATTCATCTGAAACACACATGCTACATTATGTAGGACCTGACAGCAGTGCTGCTCCTCTCTGGACAAGACCAAGATAGTATGGGGTGACTTGAAAAGGGCCAAACAACTGAGTGTTTAACTCAGTGTTCAAGTATTTTTGGATTGATGTAAAAGGCCCACATTTTTGTCCCAGTCATCTTCAGTGGGAAGCTTCAAATATGAACTTCATGATGTAGTACAACCTGCACAGTGGTGCAGTTGGTAGCACCGTTGCCTTGCAGCAGGAAGGTCTTGGGTTTAATTCCCAGCCTGGGGTCTTTCTGCATGGAGTTTGCATGTTTTCCCTATTCATGCTTGGGTTCTCTCTGGCTTCTTCCACGGTCCAAAACCCAGTCCCACTAGGACAAGGATGTACAGAAAATGGATGGATGTACTAAAATATCATTTTGTTTATACCTTTCTTTTACATCCTAATGTTCTGAATTTGGGATTTTCATCAAAATGACCAAAAATAAATCCATGTATGCATGTATCACATCTTGAATGAAACAAATTTATGGATCAGTACAAGAACATAAAACATGTAAATAAATGTATTTCCTAATGTAGAACTTGCTGTGTGCCTGTTTGTTTGACAGCAATCAGGACAACATGCATCTCATAGCTTTTTCTCAATGCGTTGCAGCTCCCCTGATTTAATCCCATCTGAAAATGAGGTCGAGCTGATTCAGTCCCCAAGTGGAATAAGGAGACTTACTGATCGTTTTTGTTCAGGGCTTTCTTCGGGAAACAGAAGAGTTATGGCAGTCGGGTTTGGTAGGGGGGACTGTGTCGGCTCTCCACCAAAAACTGCGATCCGGTGCGTCGTCAGCAGTCCACGCGGCCGCTCCATAAACACGGAGAGCTGGATGTTTACTTTTGTTCGTTTTACCAAATGAACACGTCACTCCCGCTCTTCTCCAAGCACATCACATACAGGACGGAGGAATGCCATCACCATAAATGTGGTTTTATTATTAATAACAGTATCTCTTTTAATGAACATTGCAGATACATAATAGAAAATAAATCAGAAAACAGAGACATCGTCTCAAGTCATGAAAGTGCCTGGAATAACTGTGCTATATATTCTCGTTAATATCAACCAACGTCATGACCTTTCCAATCAAAGCCTCATCACCACAAATGTTCTGTTTATCATGAACCAAAGTGTTATTGTCGTCATATTCACAGAGCCTCTCAAAGCAAAGAAGACGTCGGAGTTGGACTCCAGTGAGGATTAGTGGTTACACTCTGAGAAACCTTGTGAATAATGACCAGCAGGTTCCATGAGTATGGCTCGATTGTCTTCATTTGAATATTGTAAAGGTTTTATTTACACATTTGCCATATCTGAGGTCTCTGTTCGGAGTCGATGCTCCTGAACACATCAGTACTTCGCTTTTCCATGGAGGGAACAGTGTGAAATAAAGGCTCTGATTAAAAAAACAAAACAAAACAAAAAACAAAAAATCTCAAATGCAAATATGCTGGCTTACACCTCAATAAATTATAAAAAAAAACACAAACAAAACAAAACAAAAAAAACAACCCAGGCCTTTTCTCAAATTTTACACAACAGAAAGATTAGAAAGCAAAACATTAGAGGAGGGGAAATGACAGTTTTTCATTTATGTTCTTACAAATTCATCACTTTGCATATTTCATGGCACAAAATGAATCGTCTGAGACGCTGAAGCTAGTTCCTATGAGAACTGAAATGGTATGTGGCACAGGCAGATTCAGGAAACGGGGTCGTTGTCATGGGAGACGTGATCTTGACTGGATGGAGCGGTACCGATCAGGATGGGAAGTAAACAGATTTTTGTGGATGAGGTCTGTTCCATTTACCTTTGCTTTGGTCTAAAGTTGTTTTGCTATTAGCTATGAACCAGGATTTCATTAGCGTCATTCATTATATTTCATTTTGAAGGATTTCATTCTAAAATGCTACTAGTTTTAAATATAATTTAGCTTATATTAGTTGTTTATTAAATTAAACTCTATCTCAAGTTAATTTGTAAATATTTAGCCATTTACACTTTTCATGAGGTTGGTGTTGAAAGTTGTTTTACGGTGCCTTGCAAAAGAGTCTTTTCCACATTTTGTCATATTACAACCACAAATTCCTTTTCATGTAACTTGAAACTCATAGTGTTGCATAATTGTGAAGAGGGTGGAAATGTTTGTTTTTTAACTTTTCTTTTTCCAAATAAAATTTGAAAAGTGTGGCATGCATTTGCATTCCTTTTCTATTTGTATTTCGAGTTCAGCACCTCAGGTTTTGTAGTCTTTTACCTGGAACAATATCAGTTGTGTGGCGTTGTTGAAAAGAGGCCATAAGGTGTCCGATTTAAACTTTGCCACAAACTTGTAGAAGAAGGCTCTCTTTTTGACCAACATACAAAACTTTACATGGTGGAAAACCCTGACCATACCCTGACATGGTGGTGGCAGAATCATGCTCTGGGGACTGAATCCAGAATTTTTTTTTCCTTCCACTTCACAATTTTGCACTACTTTGTGTTGCTCTTTCACATAAAATTGCATAAAAAAAAAAATACAAAAATAAAAATTTGTGGTTGCCAAAATGTGACGTTTCAATGGGAGTGAACTCTTTTCAAGGCACTGTAGATGTTTTGCACATTAGGGAACACTGAGTGCCGCCTTCTGGAGGGAAACGTGAGAACCCTGGGAGTAGAACTCACCTGGGGAGGGGATGGGAAACAAACAGGGCTTTCATTTAGCAGGAAATGGAAATCTGAGACAATGATTTTAGCCCTGGACAGCCTTGTTTGGTCCTGTTGTGGAAACTGGGTTGAGTGACGATGGCTTTCTCCTTCACCCGCGCTGACATCATCGGTAGCTTCATCCCTACTAAACTGGCGGCGAGCTGCTGCAATGACAATGAAATCAACAAATGTGATAGAAAAAAGTCTGCTGAGCTGTGAGTGAATTCAAAATGTCAAAACCCCCGACTTCGCATGTTTGTATCATCTAACAATAAAAGACATTAATGAGTGATTTTTGTGAGCTAAGCAGTTCCACATAACAAAACGGGTTTTTTTTTAAAATCCGTTTTCCCAGTCGCTTCTATCAGAAACGTCATACATAGAACTTCTCTAAGCAAATATCCCTCAGTTACAAAAATATACTTTTCTTTTTTTTTCATAAAATAATACACATAGTTACTTTTCAGTGATATAATCTTCTGTTAAGGTAAATAGCAAGGTTGCTCTTTAAAAGGAAATGTCGCTGTGACGAGATAGTGATGTGAAGCCTAGCACCATAAGTCTTCTTTTCCCAAAAGCATTCATTATCAGAGTTGAAAAGCCAGTGCTGTCCCGTTGTCTGGACTCCAAATTTTGCATATTCTGGTTAAGCCCAAACCTATAACATCTCAGCCTTCTCCCGAGGGCTGTGACTCTAAACTGTCCCTCCCAAGAAATAAAAACCCCCATCAAAAGCATTAGAAACTACACCAGCCAACAAATTAGGATAAAGTTAACAACAGTTCTACCAACACATCTTACAGGCCATTGCTTCACTTTAGTACAAACTGAAAACAAACAAGGAAAATAAAGATTCCCAACTGATAAGGAAACGTAAAGAAACAAGTCCCAAACACTGTTGCTACAAAGAATTAGAAAAACGTATGTACAGGACCCTGTTTTCCTCGACTCTCGCGGTAAATTAGGACAGGTGTTGGCTTGTGTTACTTGAGTGTTTTTACAGGCATACAAAAAAATGTTCTCCTTGCTTCTTTTTTTCCCCCTCTTTTGTGGTTCAACTTTAATAAAAGCTCTTATTAGACTAAAACAATACAAGAATTTTTCAGCTCCGGTTTTGTCCACTGTGTCTGATGTTCCGTCCCTCCCGCCCCTCCCCAACATGTTGTCTCCTGGTGCAAATGTAACAGCAGCAAGTATCTTAGTGCCATTCAGCTCCGTCCGGCTCTGGTGGATTTGGGGTCCGACTGCCAGCGGCTAGTCCCCCCTGTGACGGATGTCGTCCGGACCCGGACCCTCCCGGCACCGACTCTGTCACCAGATTACGCTGGATATACTGGTCTCTCTGGGAAGCAGCGGCAGCATGGCGTTGTTGCCGTGGCCCTCCTCCATGCTCTGCTGGCGCGGCGACTTGGACTGCGGCCGCTGTCCGTTGATGAGCGTCATGGGGATGTTGCAGTAGGTGTGCTGGTTCCCCAGAGTCGAGAGAGCTGGCAGGGTGCCCCCCGGGGGTATGTCGTACTCGTAGCTGCGGTAGTAGTGTTTCTGCCTCATGGTGGTGTGGTAGGTGTTGTGGAACGAGGAGCGCAGCTCCGGATGGGCGGTGGCCATGGCCGTGGAAGTGGCCGCCGCCATGGAGATGGCCGAGACGGTCTGCAGCTCCCCGAAGGGACCCTGCTCGCTGACGTCCAGCGCCGGCTCGTGCGTGAGCATGGGCTCCGTGCGCCTGAAGGGCATCTCGTACTGCAGCTGCTTCCAGAACTTTGAGTTGAGCTTGTTGCTTTTGGGGCCCCGCCACTTGATGACGGTGAGGGTTTTGATGGTGTGTTTGAGGGCCTCCACTTCCTGGTAGTTCATGATGCCCCGCAGCTCGGCGCACTCGATCAGGATGACTTTGATCTCGCCGGTCACCAGCATGTTGCGTAGCCGTGTCTCCAGTTCAAAGATGCTCCACCCCCTCCGCACCACGTAGCTGGGTGTCATGACGATGATGAGTCGCTTGCTCTGGTCCACGCAGCGCGCTACGTCCTCGATGTAGGCTGGATCGACCGAGACAGAGAAACACATTCGTCACTTTGGCGGAAAACTCAAAAGCATTTGATCATTTCTGCTTCCTTATGTTTGTTAATCAACTAAACAGACTTAAAGCTAAACTTTGATGCAAATGTGAAAAACAATATTACACAGGGTACAAGAACTCTCTTTGGCCTCACCTCAAGTTTTTATAAGGCTACTCCATTATAGTTATCAAAACTTTATCAAGCATACAACTCTGATTTAACCATTCCACCATTTAGAAATGAATGAGTGTTAAATAACAGCCACACACAACACAGTTGTTAGTACCTCCTGCAAAGAGGAGTTGAAATAAATCAATCATTTACTGTAATAGTATAGTCACACTGAAAAGATTAAATACAACATTTCATTTCATGGATTTTTTTCAAGAAAATAACCAAAGTTAATGAGTAATTGTTAAAGTGACTTTGTGGGCAATTCTTGATATATGTAATTATCCAATGTAGTTATCCACAATTATACACAATTTAAAGGTTTAGTTTTTCAAAAACGTTCACTGAGATTACGCTACTGCATTTTATGGTTCTTATTTTTTCCCCAGAGGTGGCAAAAAACAAACAAACAAACAAACAAAAAAAAAAACCAGTCTGCATCTGTACTCTGCATTCAAAACCGAGACATTGAAGATTTCGGCCACACGTAGGCAGAAAACGGCGTGGGTTTACATTAGCTACTGCGGAGCCACTTCAGCTAATGGATGCGTCATCGGGCAGCAAACTGAGTGTTTTTGGTTTTCACATGTTGCCCCGAGTGTCAGGAGAAAGCGAAAGCATGAGAGAACGTCTGTGCGCGCAGCTAATGCTTGCTTTTAGGCTTTCTTGGACGCCACAGCAGCAGGTGGATGGGATAAAACCAGACTCCGTTTCTCCTGGTAATATCTCAGAGTGTCTGCTGGTCGCTACGCCAACCAACGCCACATTCCCTCCCTGGCCCGCTCTGCATACGTCGGAGAGTGAGCCGCTTCTCTTCTGTCATGCTGCGCCTGAGGCTGTCCAATGAGAGAAGCTCGATTAGAGTAAACTTGGGTTTGAAGTTGCCCTTTACTTCAACATGACAAGCCAGTCTCTGTGCTGTTTGGTAATTGGTCATCATGCTGTAATTCAACAGGACCCTGAGGCCAAATCTCCACTTCAAGGTCTGAGCCAGTTCACTTTGGGGATTTCTCTGTAGTATATCAGGAGGGGGAAAAAAACTAAAAAGGATTAATGGATACTCTACATTAGCTAATGAAGAGTGGCTTGATTTGATTTTTTTTAACTGACTGTAAATCTGCTGTTTCTAGATGCCGCCTGCCAGCCATTCATAACTTTAAAAATTAAATTTCCACCCTCTAAAGCCAAGGGAATACAATGTTTCTCTCTTCAGATCTGACAGATCATATTCTAGTGAAATAGCTCATAAAAATCACTGTTGTCTTTGAGTTTTTAATAAGCAGTTCCAATTAATTTACAACAGGAGAGTAATTCCTCTAACTTTTGTTAGCAAAACACATAAAGAAAAAAAGAGAAATTGTTAAAGCATTTAACGCATTGGGGTGTGATGATGCATCAAGTTTTATGATTACAATTATGATTACCCTCATTTTTAATCACAACGTCCCCATATTGTTTCTGCACTTCATCATCTTAGCTCTGAAAATAAACATCCGCTGTGGACATTGAGGGAAGGGAAAGATGGATGGACACGTGAAAGGAAAGGTGGAAGATAAGGATGCCACAACTGATAAAAGAAGGAAGATAGTGCAGGTCAAAACGATTAGGGGAAATGAAGAAAAAAAAAATGCAAAGAAGAGAGTAAGGACACAAAAACAGCGACTAGAGGAAGGAAAAGAAGAAGAAATCAAAGAGTGTCAAGGAAACAAAGGGAGGAAGAAAGGACACAATGGAGGAAATAAAAAGGAAGAAAAGGAAATGAAAGATGGAGGAACAAAACAAAAACAAGATGGATAAAAAGAAGTTAGCAAGGAATGAATCAGAAAAACAATCATTGAAAATACAATGCTATAGAATTTCATTTACGATTAAACAACATAATAAATTTGATCATATTGATGATTAAGCATCCATATAATTCACCAGAGTGATATAGAACTGCGAGCTACATAAAGGATTGTTTACAGGTGAATAAAGTTAAGGCTTTGATGGTTTATGAACAAAAGAAGGGACAAATTTATGTTTTACAATCTGAAAGTGTTCCAACAACAGGTCTAAAATATTGTGTTTCCTCAAAGTGGTATGGGTTTAATTGAGTTTGGGTTATGATTTGTGATGCACACATCAAACTGCTTGTCACATAAAAAACAGCAACATTTTCTGGCCAAACCACAGTTTTCTGTCTGTTAAATGAATAAAAATGAAAAGCTGTCACAGCATGTGCCAAAGGTTTGGTTGTCAACATATGTGGGAAAAAAATCTGGGTTGAAAAAGTACCTCTAAGTAGTCTTGTGTCATCCTGGAAATGATCATTGGTGAAACCTAAACAATAGATATTTACATTTAAAGGGTGATCAGAAGATTCGTGAGCAGGTGAAAACAGTGACGGAGATGTGGGGACTCTCCCCTGGCATAAACTGGATTTATCCACTGGTGCATAGACGGCGGCGATTGTTTGATAATCGCACTGCGCAGTTTATTCCAGTTTAATATGGGACATGAAGCATAAAAACGCAGAGGAATGCAGGTGGTAGGAGTTCAGCCAGGACTTCCGCTTCAGGAAAGTGCTGGAAGTACAGTGGCTCTCAAAAGTGAACACACCCCTGCGAAATTAATCTTTTTTGTTTTTCTAATGCAAAGAAATTGCGACCATAATTAATAACTCCAAAGCATCTTCCACATATACTCTAGAAAAGGGAAGAGCAGCTGGAAAATCAAACATTTTCATATAGTCAATTTTCTTTTTAACTATTACTGATGTCAGGTGTGAACTCAGAAAGAATGAATGCTGAAAAACAAAATCAAAAAGTGGAGGCTATGGATGTTTCTTTTAATGTTTCCTCTAATAAATGTGTTTTCGCCTGAATTGTACAGGACAAATGTGACGTTACATGTGGAAAAACTTCTGGTTTCAAGATTGGCAATTTACCAGGGGTGTGGAGACTTTTTAGATCCACCGCACATGGGATCCAAATGTTGAATTGTCCTCAGAGTTGACATGCCACTAAAACAAAACTCAGAAGGGTTGCTGACACACGGCGAACCCCCAAAAGGCACAAACTCTGTTTATGCATAACTCTGCCTTATACTGTGTTATATGAACTGTTCGGATGCTAATACGCTCCCACTGGGAGTCGAATGTTTATGCGTAGCAACAATAAAGCAGAAAGCAGCAGCACCACCGGGCTGAAATGGTGGCAAGCTGTGGTTGAGATTCCTCTCCGTCCTTGCATTTTTATGCCATTTTTCCCATATTACAGCAGTCCCAAACCTTCCCCCCTCCCACCAGTTTGCGAGCACAGCATCACAGAAACAGATTCAGTTTATAACCCTGGCACAAAGCCACTGACGGAACGCGTAATTAGTAATGGCGGCATGTGCGGGGAAGACAGGCAGATGCAAGTATTGAAATGGAGGCTAACAGCATAATGATATTATCAAACTCATCTGTGTATTGAGTTAATCAAAGATAAGCACGGGGCATGGAGAGATGCTCCATTAGGAATATGCTGTGGTAAAACATGCACTAATATCCATGCATAAAGAGATTCTGTAATGTGCAGCTGACACCATTACACAGCAGCATGCAGAGGCAGAGTCTTTGCAGAGCTGGATCTGGAATATGGACTCTAATCAGCAGGACTGTACCTTCTGCTGATTGTGTTTGAAAGGCAATGAAGGTTACTTTGGGTGCAACACGTTGGAAATGCTGCATGCCGCATTGCTTTTTAATTGGTCTTCTACTTCAGGTGAAGCATTTGGTGATTATTTTTTATTCTTCGGATTGTAGATATTTGTAGTGTGCGCACAAAAGTTGATTTATGATGCATAATTGGGCTTAGAGGTTTTCATACACAAGCAGCATTTCTGTTCTTTTTAACCATTCGGAGTGAAATAAGTGCACAACAAAACCTCAATGAATTTAGAAAACATTTGAATTTATTGCTTCCTTATTTGCTTTTATTAATTTCATCTTGTTGGAGCTTAATGAGGTTTGTTTTACGCGTGCATTTTGAACCCAGTGCAATATTCTTTGGTTTTAAGCAACTAAAAAGCCAACAAATGTTTAACTATTTGGCATTCGTTGACTCCAAATACGCCTCTCTCTGTAAAAACAAACTAGTAAATGAAATTGGACTGCAAAAGTGGGGATGGTGTTAAGGTTTGTGGATGACCCATGACCTCAGGCATATTGAAAATATGCTTGCAAGCAGAATCAGTGGCAGGAAACCAACACATTTAAATGAGCTCCATCAATTCTGCCAAGAAGAAGTCCAGTCAGAACAGCTTGTTGATGGCAACAAGTGTTTTGTCTGAAACTTGCAAATAGACAGATATCTAAAATTACAAGAGATGTATGTATGTATTTAAGCCTGGATGTAAAATTTTACTCTGTGTGGATAATAAATGATTCATAAATTCAAACATGTGCAATAAAGTGTTGTTTTTGTAAACCACTGCAGTTGCATTTTGTATTTTTGTTGAAATTAATTAATAAAACTCATTAAATTAAAGATTTTCATGCTAACATACTAACACAAAATGTATATTGGGCAGTTGGGGTCTCTTTCTTAAAATGTAATTTCAAATCTTGTGTGTGTGAAAGAGGGAAAAATATATATATCCAAGACTCATAAGACTCTAAGGAAGATTTAAATATTGTTCAATATACAGAAAATATGCATGTGAAAGATTAAACAAAATAAAACAATAATAAAACCATTAAATTAAGCTAAAAAAGATAACGTATCAAAATAACGTGAAATCAAACAAAAGTAAAATGAAAAATACTTTTTCAAACTTCAAGTTTATGTTTCTACATCAGAATTCTTAAATATTGAAAACAAAAATGATGAAAATGTTCATGGTTTAAGCTCCTACTTTTTGTTTATCAACATCTAATATAAAAACTTGTTAAAAAAGATAAAAACATGTAATTTAGAAATTAAAAATAGTCTGCCTAACTTTATTTTTATCCATGAGGATCCAATGTTCAATGGAAACGTACTAAGTTTACATAATTTTAAAAGATAATTTTTTAGATGTATTATTGTAATTCCAGTCTTAGACCTGAGATTACAAGGTGTAATTTGGGAAGCATGCATTTAAAAGTTATATTTTGTCATTTTTGCAAACTGAAAAGTAACTTCTAAGGTAGCTGTCTCTTTTGTTTCTGTAAAAATGGTCAAATTCAGACCTCATCAGGTTTTAGCACTCCTAGAAACAAAAAAAACGGATCCACCTCAGTCGGGCTCGTGGTTAGGAAAAAAAAATAAAAAATTCGGGATGATCAGAAATGAAAAACCGATGGTGCTCCTTCATGTCTTTGTTATGCAACGGCACAAACGCATAACAAGAAGCCAACAAAACACGGCATCGCCACCGCACCGACAACAGCTACACGAGCAACACCAAGCCACAAGACATAGGACACAACTTGACATCGCCATGAGAGAGAGCTTACTTCCTGTGGGGATCAAGTCCCTGTCTGGAATGAAGAGTTTATACCCATAATGCTTCTCCAGGACGTCAGGGAGGATCTCCAGGGCAAAGCGCTCCTCCTCTCTGGTCTCCTGGCTCCACTGGTCCGGGTCCACTTTGGTGTAGGACAGGTAAGCGTCATAGTCTTTGTTTTCTGCAAGCAGATGGACGTGAAACCATCAGTGGCAGCTTAAATCAGTGAGTTATACAAACCATCATTGCTTTTATACAATTCAAACTGGGCCATAAATACACTCTGTTCCACCTCAGATGCTCATAATCTGTTTTCATACGGGTGCAGACAGCTCTATCATTCACGGGGAGTTTTTCATCGAGACAGGGCGCCTCCATCCCGCTGACCTCTGGGCACCTCTGCCCATCCGAGCTCTTTTCATTACAGCTCAGACCCAACTGACAAATTATGTTACCTTGATGGCTATTGTGCCCTCTGCAGGCAAAAACAAATTAGAGCTAAACGCCCGGCTCCGCCTGCTCAGCCCCGCCGTCGCGTGGCGCTGCTCCATCACCCACGTGAAAGCGGAGATTGATGATGGATCTGAAAGTAGTGAGCTGGGAGATGGAAAGTGAGCCGGGGAAGGAGGAGTTTATGTGTCTTCTTAAGCTTAAAGCACAACAGTAAAAGAATAAATCAGGAGAACGGAAGACGGGGAGATATCCCAGGGCTTCTATTGGAACGGAGATAATGGCTTCTGACTCCACGGCAAAACAACCAAATCACTTGGAGCGTGTCTGCCACAACCCTAAACCTGCTCACTGGTTTCGACGTGGTTTGTAAAGGAGCAAGAAACGCTTTCGAAATGTGTACATTTAATATTTATTTTGTAAAAGAAATGTTTGATTTGTGAGATTCTGCAAGCGCACACACTTGAACAGTTCTGTGCTACAGATAATACTTATAATCTAGGCCAAAAAGTTTGATTTTGGTCTCATTTATTTAACATGTTAAAGACATTAAATATTGCAACAACAGTCATGAAGATTTTATTCGGTTTGGCTTTTGAAATGGAGTGATTCACATACCAGAAAAGAAAAAAAAAGTGTTATAACACCATTTTAAAAAGATAAAAGAGAAAAAACCCATTGAATTCATCGACCTCTGTGTTTGAATACAGACAGAAAGTGGCTTTTGGATTATAATTGTCATGTTTTTTTGTTTTTTTCAAAAGTGTACCCTCACTGATATTTACACCTGTCACACCCAAACCAAGCCGTAGGAAATCCTTCCAGAGGTAAAATCTTAGAAGAGCAGATTTCGGAGCTCAAAGATCCCGTCGTCATTTCGACTCTTGTTCTGCTGCTTTATTGCACAAGCCACATACACGTCTCGTTCGGATGGAGCGTGTTCAGAGCAGCATTTCCATTTCGCCTCCGTTAATATCCTTTCCATTTTACACTTGAGCCTCTCTCAGGAGCTGTGAGATTGTCAACAAGATTCACTCACTTCCCAGAGGGTAATCTTGATATTTGGCAAGTGCACACCACTCTTACATGACGCCCCGTAATGAATCTATCTTGTTTTTATAACGTGCAATTCATTTTACAGCACCGGGGACATGTAAAAATAATTGAAATGTAACCTCACTTAGTATAACTAACTCCGAGGCATAAATCTCTGTCTCTGTTTTTTTTCTCTGCTAGCATTTAAACAAATGCTGTGTAGGCAGATCAAGGGCTATTTTAGTGGAGGTGATTCACTCATCGGTAGAGAAAAACAGAGAGGAGAGAAAGCCTGACCCCCTCCTCCTCCTTCTCTAATTCCCCTCCAGCATCTTGAGAAGTCACTATGAGAGAAAGCTGTGGGATCTACCTACAAAACCAAAAGCCCACGTATCTCTGACGCGCCGCACGTGCGCTTCAGGTGCGTGCACGTGCGCTGACAGCCCACAGTTAAACGGAGAACTCTTGAACTTCCTGTGAAAAGTGTCAGGAGAGTCGAGGGCGTAAATTTCTGCTGCAACACTCCCTTGCAAGACTTCTGTTTCTTTTTTTTTTTTAAACTAAATCATTCAAAGTCTGATATCATAGCAAACCTATAAATCAAAGGGACTGGGATAAATATGGCCTTTAATCATTTTTCACTTCAAATGTCCCTACTTTTCTTGCAGACTCGAAGACTCCATGTCTACATGTCCTTTGAACATATCAAAGGAGTAGCAGCTCAGCCATTCATCACACAAGTATGAGTTCTAAATCAGCTTAACCACTTTCAAACATTAAATAGAAAAGTGTAGTATATTAGTTCTTGTTTAAAGCTCAGACAAATCAGGTTTTATTACAGAATTCCAACCAGCCTTAAAAAAATGGTATAAAACTCTATAACTCCACATCTAGGAGCCACAGTCAGCTGTGCCAAACTTTTCCTCGCGGACAATAAGCAGCGGCATACGCACATCTAATATGCATTAGAGTCGCCATGTGTGCAACAAAACTATTAGCGCTTTGCATCTCCAAACTGTACTTAACACCGAGGGAGCCTCATCAGTCCTCGCTGCCTTGACAACGATGACATTCGTATTTATGGCGCAGTGTTGATGAGCTCCCACCTCTTTGTCAAGCCCAGCTCGCCTGTTGTCATCATGAAGCCTATTATTGATTCTGGTGACACCCACACAATGTGACAAGTGAGCGCTCTTTAACTAAATTGCATCGCTGACAAATAGCTGACAGTCCATCCTATTGTTGCGCGCAGCTTACAATTTTACATCTGGCAGAGGAGGGCGTTCAATTAGTGCTTGGAGTGGCCACGATCAAATGCTGGCACTTTCTTGGCAGCTCGTGTGGGGCTCTGCAGGAGAAAACCACATCTCTGTGCACTGGCTCGAAGCCTTTATTGATGAGGAGTACCAGTCTGAGCAAATATATCTTATATGTATCTGTTTAGCAGATGCCACGGTGCGTTGCATAAGTGCTCTTGTCTTGAGGTTTTCCACATCGAGTTGTAGTACTCTATGAAGGCTTCTGAGGTTTGTTGGAGAACATCAGAGCAGGGCTGAAACTAACAATTATTTCAGTAATCGGTTAATCCCTAGACTATTCTAACGATTAATTGATTAATCGGATAAAAAAAATGGACTACAGACTTTTCCTCTAACCGATTAAGCATTTTCATACAATGTTAGAGCAGCAACTAAGGATTATTTTAGTAACCGATTAATTGATTATTACTTTGATTATTATTAATCAATTGCTAAGTTAGTTGACGATTGCTTCAATAATTGATCGATCACGATTAATCCACTTAATCATTTCAACCCTACAAAAAGCATCGCAAGGACCCCTGTTTGAGTCAGAGTTAGAATTAGAAATGTATGTTCACATTCAATCTATATCATCATTTTCATTTCACTTCATGTATCTCAACCAGATAAAAATCTTGGCAAATACGTTTTAATTGTAATGTGATAAAATGTGAAAAAGTTCATCCCAGTGTAGATGGGATCTTGGTTCCTTATCTACGCTGAGAGACTAAACAGTCCCGTTTAATCATTTGCACTTATCTACAGGAAACTGCTACTCTGAGGTGGCAGGCAGAGTGGAGATCCATCAGACCACGGCGCAGGGATCTCTGGAGTGCCGTGCGACATTGGACCTGATCCCCTTCTTCTAAGGAATAAATTGATAATCTTTCTCTCTTTATCTCTCTCTCTCTCTCTCCTAGCACTCGCTCTTGTAGCCCAATTAAAGACGACAACTGTTTGGCTTCGGGTTCAACGGCCAAAATTCTTCTTTTTGGGGTTCCAACAAAGCCAGAGGTAACGGTGTTCAATAAACTGTCACAAATATTTCTCCCTCTTATCAAATATAACTCTCCAGCTGCTTCTTCTCCCCCACTTTGCAAAAACCCTGCAGCCTCTCCGAGCTAATCTCATTCCTCCTGAATTCATTGCTGTGCTGGTCCTACAGAGACTCATTACAGGGGAATCAAATTAAAACTTGCTCCTTGTCTCAGTTTGATGCATTCTCAAGCTAAGACTCATCCACCAGGTCCAATCAAAGTTTATTTTTTTTCATTTTGCCACTGCTGATGAGGTCTGAGAGTTAATGTTTTTGTCTGGCACAGGGGTAGTGTTTTGATTTGCTTTATAGTGAGTGTTTAGCACAATATATTGCCCCCCAAACCTTCATTTTTTTTTTTTTTTAAGAATCCTTCATTTTGTGCGACCGTGTAAGCCGCTCAGTTTGTTTTTCTTAAGAAAATCTGCAGCTGTTAACATTATTCAAGTAACACGATGTGCGTACGCTGAAAACCGAGGCTTTATTCTGTATCAGTCGGTGGTTGGCGAGTTGCTTCCTGCTCTTCGGGGGACAGCACAGTGAATATTTAGCAGTTTTTATTTAACCGCTCCAGCGGGAGAAGGTGAAGAAGATTCCCTAAACCCGAGAACTAGATGAAATTATGCAAGGCTTTTCAGTTGGAGCCAATGAGTCATTCGAGCTCAAGCCGCATTTGCATAAAAATGGAGCCACCTGCGGCTTTATGACTTGATAAATAGCCCAGGTGCTTTCTAAATAAAAATAAATCTGCGCGTCGGAGCATCTCCGACACTGGTCACGACTGGGATTCGGTTCCTGTTTTTGGGAAGGGAAAGTGGTTTTATAGCAACGCGAGGGGCTTTTAGAAATCACACAGGTGACGGCGTGTGCATCTTACCTCCATCAATGTCCTCACTGCCAAAGTGGTTCCTATAGAAGAGCATGAGCTCGATCCTGTAGCACTTGTAGAGGGTCACCAGGCAGATCAGCAGCAGCAGGATGGCCCCCAGACCTCCAGCCAGCTCCACTGTGTACATCAGCTCAGCTGGTAGAGAAAAACACTTCTATGTTGGTATTTCCAAAAAAAACAACAACAAAAAAACAATATTTGAGTATTTAAAGCAAAGTAACACAAAGAAAGAAGGAAAGAAAAGCTTATGCTTTTAAAATAATTTAATTGATCTTAAATGTCTTTATCAGTAACATTTTATTTCTTTCTGAAGATGCAAGTTTTACAGTTTTCTTTTCTTCAGTTTTTTTTTTTTCTCATTTTTGGCCATGTGATTAACTCTGAATGAAGCATAAAAGTAGGCAGAAAATGTGTTTGTGTTGTGTGTCAGTATTTGTCATCAGTGAGTGCAAGAAGAACTTAAGGAGAGAAAAGAAAATGAGGAAAGCGAACGCACTGCCCTTGGTTTATAACTTCTCGGTGTTGCTTAAAAATGTTGAAAAGTCTCCAATTTTTAATAGGCAAACCTTGAGCTTTTGATTTAATTCCACATACAATTTCTTCTTAAAAAATAACAGATTCGCATCATGTTTTTGTGTTGATCTCGGTGGGGATTTAGCTCTGTTCTCCTGTAAGCTCAAAGCTCAAAGTGTCATCCTAAATCGTCCAATTATTTTCAGTCACTTACTGAACATTTTTTTACTGCTCAGAAACTCTGAAAACCATCAGAACCATAATCAAAGAACATAAGAGACGCTTAAATTGTGCAAAAAATGATAGCGGTATTGCAACATTTACTCAGTTTTGAAGTCTCTGTAGGACAGGTTTAAAATCTAAACCTAAAAATCTAGCTGGATTGAAAATGTGCACTCAATTTCCCATTCCTGATCCTTGGATCAAGTTGCTCAAGTCTACCAGCCTCTTAAATAACAAAATAAAGCTACTGAAGAAATAACTGATACCTTTTATTTCTGACTCTTTACATGCTCTCCTCAAGTTTGCTTGAACGGCGTGAACACACTCTCTTTATTCTCTTTAAGCTGAAAATAAAGTTTTCTTCTTTGAGATCCAACAGCCTCTCCTCTCAGTCGTTTCCTCCACCTGATGGTTTCTCTCTGCTCCTTTAGACAAGCGCATTTGCATCCGACAGCTGCGGATCCAAACGTAATCGATGTAAAGGTAACACACGATGCCATCATGACGGATAAGAAAGGCGCCAGCGGCTAATGGGGAAGGACTCCGTGTTTGTGAAAGTGTTTTTTATGCATCGACCGGGGCCGCAACCCCCTTCACTCTGTGTTTGTGTCAGTTTTTCTTGTTTCCCCTCTCCATCTTTCCAACATTGCTCATTCTGGCTTGATTGGATTCGGATGCCACATAACTCAGAGCCGAATGAAAGCAGAAAGCTGCTCCTATGCCTGTCATTTAAAGCCTCCTGGCTCGACTCGGATAATAAAAAAAACTCGCGCCGGGGCAACCGGTGCGACAATGGCACGTGACAAATTGCGCTGCCAAACTTATGAAGATTGGTTGCGCGTGTGTGTAAAGCTGTGAAAACGGCAAAGCGCTCAGGTGGTTGCTGAATCACCTGACGGATCGGAGCAGTTTGGCAGGACCTCATGAAGAAGTGAAACAGATCTTCAGAGATCTTCTCTTGGTTTTATAGTACATTACTTTAGATTATGTCGGTGATGCCTTTAACAACGACAGGAGACGGTGTGGTCAGTGTTTGTAGAGAGGAACCCAGATATAGTCTGGCTGCTAAATCGGACAATTTTCAACTCAAACGCTCCTGACCGTTCAGTCGGAAAATCAAAAATCCAAACCACATTTACTCCCACAAGAAATTACACATCAGGCTCAAAAGTTAATCAGCATTGTGGAGGCTTGTCTTCAGCTTATTGTACTCCTCACTCTTAAGGAGGCGTATGAGTCTGGGTGGTAAGACGTATCGAAAGGATTTGAAAAGATTTCAAATTCATTGCTGCTTTTTCTTTCTTATGTAGAAGTTTGAATACTCTTTAATTAAACAAAGAGGCCATGCTGGCAACACCGGCTTTGAACGCTCATGGTCTGAAATAGAGATCGAAATTCGCTAAAAGTGCTACTGGCAGGTCAAAACTGGAAATCGAAATCTGATTGCTGCATTTCTGACAGGTTTGATCATGACTCTCTTTCAGATCTTCTTACTTTTGTCTGATGACATTCCGGTTCAACTTTTCCTCCCAGCCACGCCTCACAGATTCCCTGGCTGACCGCGGCGCTGCATATACGTCTAACCACGGACGGAGAGGACTCTCCCATGCGTCGCGATCCATCACTGGTGCGCGTTTAACCTCTTTGTGGTGAGCGATGCTCGCCTCCCTGCAGTGGATTTCAAGCTGACAGCTCCCATGATGAGGGATGATGTTCCTGAAAGCTAACGAGCATGGCCTGCTCCGCCTCATCACGCCTGTCTGTTGATGACCTTCAGCCATCTGAACTCACCAATGGGCATTTGAGTGCGTAAGTTCAAAAAAAAAAAGACAGAGAAAAAGCAAACAAACTCGAGGCAGCGTGACTACAGGTTTCACCATCCTCCTCTGGGCTCAGCTGGATCTCCTCTCGGTCCTGGCAATCATCCTGATTTGCTTGATTTCTCAGAGCGAGGCGCTGCGGCTAACGAGCATTGCTAAAAACTCCACTCCTACCACATATTTAATTCAATGTCCTCTCCACCTCTCCCTCCGTCCGCCTGCCTTTTTGCGCAGCCTGATTCTCGGCTCCACTGTGTGGACCTCATATGGAGCCAGCTGCTTTTCAAGCTGCAAAGATTACAGTGGAGGAGGAAAATTCCTCCCTGCCTGGAATCCATATTGTAGCAACGCTGCAGAGGGACAGATTAAGACAAATTAGCTCCCAACGACTAAAAGACTGGATATGATTGAGCCGCATGGAAGAGGGCTATTCATTACTTCCTCTCCCTCTTTTTCTGCTTCTCTCTGACAAGGGGGAAGCATGAAATGATGAAGAACAGTCCAAAAAATTAGGAAAGCGCTGTACAATTAGTATTTCCCCCCCCCCCCCCCTTATAAACCATGAATACAAATATATTTTATTGGGATTGAACAACACAAAGTAGTCAATAACGGTATATGTTAGGGCTGATCAGGCCAACACATCAAAGTGCTTAAATCTAAACCATGTAGCTGTGGCTAAATGTTTCGGATTGTTGTCTTGCTGGATTGCAAATTTTCTCCAAAGTCTCAAGTCCTTTGCTACCTCTAACTGCAAAGGACTTCTTCAAAGTTTACACATACTTTGACTCTATTCATTTTCAGACATCCCAGTACAACTGTTACTTGTCCTATTGACAGGTTAACCCTGGTAACCATGGTGATTACAGACCACAACCACTTGCTAACAGCTAAAAATACTTGGGACCTCCTAAAAAAGCCTATATCTGCCTATTTTAATAGTTCAAACACCAACTATACCCTAATTTTCTTTGGGGTATCAGAATAAAGGGGGTTGAATACAAATTGAAGCCCCACAGTTTGAAATATGTTCGCCACACACTTAAGGCACCACTTTGTGCTAATGTGCCATGTGAAATCATACAATATTTACACTGAAGACAGAATTTGAAAAAAGTTCAATGGATCTGAAAACTAGCATAGCGCTATATGCTAATGTTGCTTGCATTATGAGGGGATCAGGACTTGAGAGTCAGGCTTTGTGCGCTGCTGCTGGCGATGTTTGCGTTTTCCGTGTGAGGGATCCAAAAGCATGTCAAATCAAACGAGCGAAATAATCACATTCACTTTGAGCTTCAAGAGCCGAAGACACTGTGATGCCTTTTTAAAAGTGATGTAAACACTGAGCAGTCTTAAAAAATGCACCAAAACCAAACGCACACACTCACAAAAAAAAGAAAAAAGAAAAAAAAAAAAAACTCAGAAAATACAGAAACGAGATGATTCCTTGCAGTCTTTCCATCCTGCGAGGAAGAGGCTAATCTGCAGCAGTTTATTTTCAGATTCCAGCATGCAGCATAAGCCCCTTTAATATAGCAAATGGAGAGGAACTGGGCTGGCATCAAAGTTAGATCCAAGGCTTCCAGCTTTAAAGAGAGGAGGAATATCTTACTATGTTAATGTATTCTATACCGACAACTTAAAGGCTGCAGAGAAATTCCCCAACGTATTTTAAGTAAGGACACTAAAATAATCTGCATCCCTGTTTTAAATTAGCATGAAATAATGTTAAAAATAAAAGAAGTGGCTATCAAAGTGATGTTTTATGTGTTAGTTGGGGTCAGACAGTATGTTAAGTATAATGTTACCATAAAGGCCTGGTTTTTGAAGCTGAGGTGAATAAATATGTTTTATTTTTGCACTGTCCGCTATAGTTTCCTGTTATTTTCTCAATAAGGCAGGAAACAAATCGTCAGTTCCCACAGCACTAACTATCAAGCCTGTCTTCTCATTTGTTTGATTTATGTTTAAAAAATAAATAAATAAAAAATGACGCTCCAGATGTTTCGGCTCACCCTTCTTGATGAGTTTGACGTTTGCTTGCCGCCGCCCGTTGCTGTTCTCCACGTAGCAGGAGTAGTTGCCGAAGTCGCTCTCCTCCAAGGAGTCGATGGTCAGAGAGATGGAAACTTCCTGCTCTCCGAGGTGCTCCCGGATTGTCCTGCAGGGGGCAGCACAGAGCTCCTAAATATTGTGTTTGAGCATAAATGATAATTTCTTTTTTTTGCATCGCCTTCGGTCAGTAAAACAAAACAAACACACAACAAACATTCAAAAAAAGCATCAGTAATGCTTCAAACATATCCCCAAAAAGAGAATGGCTGCAAGGTTTAGATCAAAGCAGCTTCTGGCAGTCTGTGTTTAAGCAGTCTGATTGAAAAAGAATGAAAAGAAGAAAACAGAGTAATCAGGCAGCACACAGAGCAGAAGTTGTGCTTTAAATGTTGCAGGTTTGCTTGATGATGACAGATTCCAAACAATGTTGGATCAGACGTTCCGTAAAAACAGAAATAAGATAAAGAGGCAGCTATGATTTATTTAAGGAAAAAAAAAAAATCAGATTCTTTCTGACAAACAGAGGTTTCCCTAATAGGAATCTGAGATGTACCAGCAGTGTGTGGATCAGAATGTCTATATATTCTGACCTTATAAATTTTCATACCAGGCATATTCGCATTTCAATAACAGGCAGAGCTCCTGAAATGTTTTGGATTTCCTTCTGCATTCAAGTCAAATACTTATCAGGTCTACCTGGTGGCAGAAACCAAGCTAAGAATTATTATAAAATGCTGGACTCAACTTTCTGAAAACGATTAATCTCAATTGATTCATGAATTCACAACGGGGTATGAAATTTTCACATAGGTTCAGGACGGTTTCAAAAGCTTTTTTCACTTATTGAAAATCATAATTTGAAACATTTAAGTGATGCTGTATCTTAATGCTGTAAATTATTCCATATGGACACTCATCTGTATTTGTTACAGTGTAGATGCGGGTTTGATAAAAAAAAAAAAATAAATAAATGTGGAAACATGTCTGTTTAAAAGGATTTCAAGGGCAGTGTAACCGGAGACAAAGGTTACTAATAATAACTAATAATAATAATAATAATAATAATAATAATAATAATAATAATAATAAACATCATTAAAACATTGTTGAGGTTTCCAGCAGGACGTCTTGTTAATTATTCAGAATTAGTTCCAAAAACCAACCAACACCATCTTATATTGTAAAAGCAATCATAATAAACTTTTGGGGGGGAAAAGGCATGAAACAAGAAAACATTAGCACAGAAAAAGCAGTATCTTACCTGCGGGGGTGCAAAAGCAGCTAATATGTATGAGCAGATAACCTTTTTAAGGCTGCAAAAAAATTACAGCTATTTCAAACTTCTGTTTAATGATGCATGGGGCTAATAGTGCAAAAAGGTGTGAGTGCCACTTAGGCATTCATCTCCTGCCTACTGCAGGGCATTTGCATATGAAAACTCATCTCATTCTTGTTGATCAATGAACGGACTAAATAAAGCAGACTGTGAAGCGCTGGGTATATATGAGGACAAACTACAATGCGGCCGCCGCTGCCATGGCAATGTCTTACATTAGCTGCACAAAATGTGGCTAATAAGTGGAATCCCACAGAAAATATCACTCTGCAGTGAATTTCTTTTATTGAGCATATACAAAGAGGGACCATTACAAGCAATTATTTTACAGCTACATGTGCAAGCTGCTCATAAAACCTAATAATGAAGAACTGCTTTTTGTAGAGGAACAAAAATGGGAGCAACTAAAGTTGGGTTATAGAAGCATGAGTGTGAAACTAATTTAGCCTCTTTTTTTTTTTTTCTTGGTTCCTGTGAACACATTGTTCCACATTGTGAGGCCAGTCAGGCAGTGACGCAGGACTTCACCTCAAGGTTGGGACACAGAGTCCAACTGATGGCTTTTTAAAGACTACGGCGGCAGCCGTGTGTGACACAACATAGACTGAAGTGGAGCAATAGGAGCTGGGGAGAGTAAAACAGAATTTATCATTCTTGTTGGTGAAAGTCTTTTCTAGAGAGAAAAATGTTCCACGAAAGGAGGAGGCACGCAGCATAAGCTCACCCACGCCAAAAACTGGCAGGCGAAACGCTTGAAAGTCAAGGATGCTGGTTAAGTTAAAGAAACCAGAGGAGAACGAGTTCAGGAGAAAAACGGGATGGACTCAGGTTTGTGATTTGTTTTCATATCTTTGGGTTCTGGCATTATGCAGTGGTTTAAAAACAGAAAAACCTGTGATGTCTGAGTAGGTTACAGAAGTTCCCATCAAACACTTTCCCAAGCTGCATGACAAAAGTATTTGCAGTTACTTGCTTTCCAGTTGCAACTCTTTCCTAAACACTATTTTTGTGCATGATTAAAAGTTAAACTATCATCAAATTCAGATACCTCCAGAGCTACTGTTCTCTTATTACCTGTTTTTGTCCCTTGCTATCTCAGTGTTGACAAATTTTAATTTGAATCAAACCACAGCAATCAAAACAAAGCATTAGGACAGGATTACCAAGTCATGCATCGTTTGTTTTAAGGTTCATCTCCTATGAATGCATAGGTTTT